TCCAATATGGATGTAAGATCCAGGATATACATTAATAATTTCGTGAGTTTTTGGAGTTTTTAGTAAAGTTCTAACATCTTTTGGCAAGTCAAGACCTTCAGATCTCAAAATTTGTAAAAGTTCATTGACACAATTATGAGATATATGATAATCTGATATAAGTTTACATAATTTATCTTTAAGGGTAACATTATTTTTATTTAATATAGTTTTAGGGGTATTAGCAGCATCATTATTAACATTATTTATAAATTATATCATCCGAAAATTGTAAATCAATTGGTGTAGGATATAATGTAATGTTATTGGTCGTTTCAGTACAGGAACTAGTTAATGAAGGCTGAGATTTCTGAGAAGTTAAATTATTGAAAGATTTATTGATTCTTACATTATTTGACAACATTGGATCCTTTATACAATTTAATTTCTTTTTGGTTTCTAAATATCGTTGGAAGTTCCTCTTGGACATGCAGTGGAGAGGTTTCCTTTTCTTAATCTATAACACATTTGTATAATTATACAATTAAATAGGAATAATTTATACTAAACTTAATAATTAAATACTCATAAAAGATTCTAGCTTCCAAAACTAATTTATTTATATTATGAACATAAAATTATAAATACTATAATACGGTAGTATTTATAACTTTATAAGTATGTTATATATAGTATAGTAAGTCATAAATTTTTACATTTTCCTGTTTTGACACTAAAAATTGATTGTCTAATGCAATAAAACTAAAGACTAATATGTTAATAGTGAGAAAAATATCTAATATATTGTACTAGTACTTCTACTATATAGTATATATTAGTATATAAATATTTATAATATTATAAGGGGAAATTAACCCATTACAATATTGATACTTACTAATTGTAAACTATTTATTTTTGCACAGCAACTGATCCCGAGCCAAACGTTGAGCTCCATGGCGAAACCAATGTTTGACAAGAGTTTCAAACTCTATATCAGAAATTTTAAAATTATCTCTGCATACACCTAGAAATCATTTAAATAATAATTATGATTTACAAAATTCATAGATAATAATACACCTTTTATTATGGCCACAATTGTAAGGTTTTCAAGTTTGAAATTGTTACGGAAACCAGTCCAGGAACACTTGGACGGCAATTCATTTGAAAAGAGTCTTTGAAATATACGTTTAACAAAGTTTTTTGCATCAGTGCCTCCTATTTGAGTTACAAAATTTTCCTGCAAAAAATATTGTAAAACAATCTTGTTAATAAACACTTAAAAAAAAACTGTAAAGTAGTTTTATATAGCAATGTTTTGTAGTTACATATTAAATAATACCTATTTGATAATGATTATGGATTATACATAGAATATACCTATGTACTATAATCTATATTTATTAGAAAATGAGTAATAAAGAATTATATAGATTAATATACCTACCACATTTTTTTTAAAACCAATATCATTGGTAATAAGAGCTTCAATATTATCAATTCCGGCTATATCCTTCATGGGAAAATATGATAAAAAATCATCATTTAATGTTTGAATATTATTGTTGTTTTTATTTGTAGAAATATCCATAATTTTATGTTCCAAACGTTCAATCTTTCCATCTAATCGTTTTAAAAATATATGAGTAGCATTACCTTGTTCAAAAATCTGTTGCAATAAGTCTGTAGTAGGGGTATTTTGAATACCTAAATAATAAAAATCATAATTTTTATATAATATGTATTATTAAGTTTAATTATTTTAGGCTATGATTAATATAATTTATTTAACTATCTTGTTTATTTATTTTTTTAAATTCAATTTAAAATACATATAAATACTTTAATTACTACAATTAGTTGATTGAAATTACATTTTACCATAATATTATGATAATTACCTACCTATTGTTTAAACAAATTTTATAAAGTTAAAAGAAATATAAATAATGAAAACATGTTAAGTAGATATGTAAGTGATGTAAAAATTTAATTAATTTAAAATATAGTATCTTATTACCATTTATTATAAAAGAGCTACTTAAGTCTCTAGATGTTGAAGGCAGAGGGCTTGCTAAAGTTGAATCAGATAAATTTGACAATATATTAATTGGCAAAGATCTGTGTGTTGTATGATTAATAGAGCTAGTTTCATGAATTGAATCTAAATTAAGGTTTGCTGTTTGATTTTTTGGTGTTGTCTGAAATATAGAGCTAGTTTCATGAATTGAATCTAAATTAAGGTTTGCTGTTTGATTTTTTGGTGTTGTCTGAAATATAGAGCTAGTTTCATGATTTGAATCAACATTAAGGTTTGCTGTTTGGTTTTTTGGTGTTGTCTGATAGACTGAAGAGCTAATTACATTATTTGAACTTCTGGGAATACTAGTGTCCATGTCATACAAGTCTGTCAAAGAAGCTGTTAGTAAATCAAATAATATGAGATAAATTTTTTTGAATTTTTTAAATTTCACAATTTTATTATAAAGTTATATATATATATATATATATATATACATATTTTCCGGTCTAGATAAAAAGTGATATACTTATAAGTTATAATTGATTTGTATTATGAATAATTTTGTAAAAAAAGAATAACAAATATTGCATAAAATAAGAATTATTTAATTGTTTAACTTAGTGGTTGAACTGAAATAACTAAACTAAAAAACAATAATTATATAACTTTCCTAATCATTTAGATATAAAGAATCATAAAAAAATAGATACCTAACTTTTGCATTAAAAAATAAATTCTAGTTAAAACTGAAAAATATATTATTCTTATCACTGCAGAAAATATATATATATTTTTATTATTTATTAGCATAATTGTGTCACCAGGCAATTTTACAATTAGAAAATATATAAAATTGCAATAATACATTTTTGATTAAATTGTTTATTGTTTAATAGGTTCTTATTACTTCTTACTATACTTACAAGATATAGGGAAAATTTGACTCTCATAATTTTGCTGTATATTTTGACCTTTATAATTATGATTAATATTAATTTGATCTGAGCAAATGTTTGATACAGTAGTAGTATTTTTATACAGCTTAAAAGGTGGCCCATCTAATGTACTACTATCTAAAATTCAACATAAAAATAGGTAGGTATATGTATAAATATATTCAGAAAATATGTATTAAATGTATAATCATTCTTACTATCTATTTATCTAAATTAATCAATATTCTTTTAACCTAAATAAAACTATTAAATAGATAGGTATTTATTTATTGAATCATTTGTAAAATAATCCAAAATGTATTGATAATATTTCAA